AGAAAGGAAAAATAATCAATGTCGACCAATTTAATCTCATAAACCCCACCAATGTACTTCAAATCGAGATTTCGAATAAACTCTCCTCCAATAAATAGTAACAATGCTGAATTCAGCATTTTGCCTATGAATTAGATAAAAAAAACAGTACAACAAACTATGTGGCACCACTATTTTATCACAAATTCAATTTTGCATTTGTGATTTTAAAGTAGAAGAAGAAGAATAATGGAAAGCCGTGAAATGTCACGATGACGGACCAAATTTGAGGAAGATTTCAAAAAATTAAAAATGCCTTAATTCCACCCCCCCCCCAAATTCAATCGGATATGAAAAAAACACATAAAATCTTAAAATTCTCTCTTTCTCTCTTAGGTGTGCATTAGAGGTAACTCTCTCTCTCTCTCTCATGCTCTCTATTATTTTTAATTACAAAAGTCTTTGTCTCTCTCTCTCTCTCCTCGATCATTGCAAATAAAATTTTGATTAAGGATATAAGGCAAGCAATGAGTCGTTCACCTTATATCCATAATCTAACAAATTAGTTTCAGTTTAACGCTAAAAAAAATTAGTATAAATAGTAACTATCAACTACGTTGATCGTTACATTTAACGCCAATTGAAAAAATTATATCAATGTTACCCAACCTCTAATACTTTGATATCCAAATTATGTAATTTGATACAATGGGTCACGTGTTGCTCTTGAGGTTGTTATGCTTTCAAACTATATTGTTCTTCGGGTTCTTCCTCTCGTTGTTTGCTCTCTTTTTCTTATCCATGTCAACGATCTTCTATATCCCCCTCTTTATCCTAATTTACTTCCTCACTTTCTCTTCCTTTTTTATTATTATTGGCTTATTGTATCTTGTGTTTCAGCTTAGAATCAAGACTTTTTAATTGGATTTCACATAGACGATGCTAAATATTTATGCCTTCAACTTGATCTCGATTCTCCGAATTCTAGCAAAAACAAAAGTAAATAAAAAATCGGCTAAAAGGGTCTAACCATCTCCGAATTATAAGTCATTTAAAATTGAGTTCCGAAACTTTTTAATTGGTTATGAAGATCCATAAACTTTATAAGTTTTGAAATTAAGTATACCCAATTTTTTCAGTTATCATTTTCTCCTATAAAAAATTCAATTTTGGGTATTTTGAGATGAAATTTTTCACACACGTTGAAAAAAACTCAATCCATTTTATTAAAAAAAAATCAAAATTTTTTAAAAATATAGAAAATTGGTAAAAATATAAGATAATTTCAAAATGATCTCAAATTTTTTTTACAATCCCCATATAAATCTCATCGAGTGATTTTCATCATGAAACTATTTATGTAATTTTTATTTTTTAAGATAAATGATAAAAAATTAAAAATTGGGTTTACTTGCAAAAAATAAAAGTTTATAGATCTCTAAAATTAATTAAAAAAAGTTTTGAAACTAAATTTTAAATGACTTATAATTTAGAAATAGTTACATCCTTCTCCCCTAAAAAAAAAAAAATCAGCTCCTCGAAATCAAGTCTGTACCATTCTATATAATAATAATATTTCATAGTTTTGCTAACGTATGTGCTATTTTATTCTTACTTGCATGCATACTTCATTCTATATTATTTATTCCCCTAAGTTAACCCTTAAGTGTCGCTTTCGAACGTATTAAAGTCTTTTACCAGGGATAGGGGGTATATATACCACTCTCAAACATTTTATCTTTTTAAATTTGTTGCCATATATCTCAGCTACCAATCAGATAATGCCATGTCATCGTTATCTTTCTTTACAAAAAGAAGATGCTGTCACTGTATTGGAATTTGCTAAAATAAGTGTTATGTGCATACAGTCCAAGCCATTTGGCTTCATATTCTCCTTTTGAGAAACAGGATTAGCCTAAAAATTTAAACTTTTGTTATGGTCAAGTTTGTACAACTGACTTTGCATGTAGGCTTGCTGCTGCATCTCTAAGTGCTGATTTGTTCTTTCTTTTTCTTTATTAATAATATGGATCGTTGTGATCTGGAAGGCATATTTGAAGTAATTAAGAAGTTTTTTTTTTTTTTCAAAGCCAAATCTTATCTGACTTTATTACTTAATTGCTTTTATATTGACTATCGATCGGTGCATTAATTATAGTACTACGGTTTCTTGTGTTATTTTCTATCTTTGTTGCTAACTTGACATTCCTAGTGACTTCCACCCCCGAAACTTTTTACCTCCACTTGTATGTCTGCACGTTACGTAGTTTCGCCGCTAATTCCAATTTTCGTGTTTTGGTTTGTTACCAAAGCAACTCAAAGGAAGATCGCTCCTTGTAAAAAAAACAAAAAGAAAACTTGAAAACCTTCTCCTTCGTAAAACCGGCGTACGTGTGTAGTTGGCGTCGATGAGAGGGCGACCTCTTCTTTTTCTTTTTATGTTTATAGATTATCTAAGATTTTTATTTCATCTCTATAGATATATATTTTATATTTAGATTTATGTATTCGTTTATCAATTATTCTTTCTTTTTTTTTCCTCATTAACTACTTTGAACGTTTCATCATCAATAGAGTCTACTGATGCGAACATATTTTCATTATTTTATAATATTTAAACTCATATGTTCCTGTATAGCAACAGCAATGTAGGTTAAAAAATTTCAAAATATTTTCCTTATGGTCCAAATTGAATTGATAAGCTAATAAAATGATGCTCCATTTCTGGTCTAGTCAATCTTGGCTTTCTGTTGGTTTCTTTATACACTTGGGAAATCTTTTGGATTTGCTCACAAGAGAAGTAAAAGTAGTAGGTTGGATGGCAACAATAAGCTGGGATGGCTTATGGTAGCTAGGGACCACCTCTTAATCATGCATTAATCCATGGATAAATGAAACGAAAAAATGAGCCAAAATCAATCAATCAGCCAACCCACCCACCCACCTAGCCACCATGAGCCAATCTCCTGCTCGTGGCCTCATTTTATTCCACATGTTAGGATACTGAATGCTTGATGACAGCATGCCTACTTGGAATTCTTCTCCTGAGGCAGGAAAGTAATTAGAATAGACTAGACAAAAGGAGTGGGAATTGATGAAAAACATGAAAGAAGGATTGGAGGAAGAAGTCCACCGATGGAAGATCTAAGAAGAGACAAGGGAATAACAAAACAATCTAGTAGTTTCAAACATGTCCCCAAAGCTACAAAAACTGGGGTCCAACTATAACAACTGTCCAACACAAATGCTTTGCTTAAGTAGAAAATAATATTAATTAATGACTTGATTCACCTGAAAACATATGCTTTTGGGGTATATAATATTAGGTTTGCTTGCTCTAAGAAGATATGCCCAAGATCTCATCGAAGACTAATATTAGTATATATGCATACATCATTGCCCACTTCTTATATTCCTTTGTTTAGCAACTACTGATCTCCTTAATTACTATTCTAATAGCATTTCCAAAACATGGTCAAGATTAACATATTAATAAAGCATTGTTTTTTTTTTTCCAAAAAAGAAGAAGATATCTGTGGATGGAAGGATAATTACAAAGAAACTTCATTTGGTGCTGAGTACTCACATTTCTACAGAACTCAAAACGTTTTTTAAGCATTATATTGAGACCTGTAGACTGTAGTGGATGGGACGAGGCACCCACAGCTGTTATATAATATTTAGTTGTATGTTGATTAGTATATGATAAGCTTCGTAAAGGAAATTACATGAATCCACTAACTCATTAGTTGACAAGTATAATAATAATATTTTCTCTTTCTTTGATTTTTAACTGATTAAAAGATTATTAATTGTTATATTACATCTCTATTTTTATTCATATTTTTTAAATATATATTTGAAAATTGTATTTGAACAATTTTTTTAAAAAAATTAACTTTACTTAGAAATATTTTTAAAAAGATCATGCTAGTATTTTGAAACGAATATAAATAATACAAAAATAGATAATTTCTTTGAGATGGAGAGAGCATTTAATAATCTTAGATATAAATATTGTGAATCTGCAATTTAGTCCCAAATGTGTATAGTCATTTTAAAGTGAGCGTCAAACCTATAAATTTTATCAACTCGATTCTAAAATTTTGAAAATATTCTCAATCAGGTTTTTTTAGTAAGGCTCAACAATAATTTAAATTTTCTTCAAATTAATATCTTTTTTAATGAATAAATATGCTCAGTATACCAAACATATTAATGTTTTGTTAATTTTTTCTGTCAATTTTTATTTTTTTTTCAAATTGACATCGTTTTATTTTATAAAATATGTACACTAATTACACTTAAACTATTAAAAAAATTGAAAAAAGGATGAAATTGAAAAATATCAAAAAGATTTAATTGATAAAATTTATGAGTTTGGGATGCAATTAAGAATGAATGAATATATAAGTTTAGAATTAAACCAAGGTTTCTGGTACAATGGGATCGAGATTTGTTGCACAGTGAGAAGCCCTTCCTTCCAGGTGATTACTTCTTTGACTTTTGTGAATATAATTAATACTTAATAACCTATAATTTATCCTTTCTTTTCTTTAAGTATGGAATATATGTTTAAAATGTCCAAGTGGTACTACAATTGCATGTTAATTATTATATGTTTAAGATTAATGCTTCCAGACCATGGAATTCCTCTTTGAAAAAAAAGCACACTGAATCCTCTTTGATGGAGAAAGTTTGAAGTGTATCTACTATAAAATGCAAATATATACTGATTTAAGAAAGGAAAGGAAAAAAAAACAATTTATATTGCATGAGCTAGACGGCTTCTCTGATCTGACTTTTCTTTTTGCTGTCTTTTTTAATTGCATGTTTATATTATTCATGATTCTTACTATAAAATTGTTCCTGTTTTAGATGCAATGCATCGTTGGAAACCATAGAGTTTACTATATAAGGAAGAGAAGCCAAAGTATTAAATATCGATCAGTGCAAATATTAGTTTCACAAAATTAATATATATCCTTCTCATCTTTTTCTTTTTTCTGAACTCAGAAGAGATGGAAAAGGATGGCTCTAACATGTTTTCTTCCATAATATTGGATGGAGATCAACATGGTTATTCTGCTGAATCCTGTACAGTCGAGAAGAAGCTCAAATTATTTGGATTCGAGCTGAATCCATATAAGAATAACGAGAGTAGCATGAAAGGGTGTACGGAAGGAGATCATGAGAGTGTGAATTCGTCAAATACTGTACTGTCATCTGAAAGGGAAAAACCTGTCAAGGTGAAAAGCTCTAGTACTGGTCATCATGAGACTGCAGACGATAAGAAGTTTGAGTGCCAGTATTGTTTCAAGGAGTTTGCGAATTCACAGGCATTGGGGGGTCATCAAAATGCCCATAAGAAAGAAAGAATGAAGAAGAAGAGACTGCAACTTCAAGCTAGGAAGGCGAGCCTCAGCTGTTACCTTCAACCTTGGCAAAATAACCTCAGTAATTACAATTATCCATATGGCTCAACTACTACTCCATGGTTCTTCGATCCCTCATGCTCTACTACTCCCGATCAGTTCACGCTCTATGAGGAGTCTCAGATTAGTTTCAATCCATACGAAGATTCCCACCTTAATGATTCTCAGGTATCAAAGTGGTATGGTGTTCCAGCTCAGGTCTCTTTCCAACAAGATACTCATAACAAGTTCACTTTCACGCATGCTGAGAGATCCAGAGAGAAGCCTCCTTCTTTGCTTGCTTCCAAGAAAACCTGTAAATCTGTGGATCTTAAGTTAGGCCTCAGCTTGCAATCAACTATTCAAAGCTCCTCCAGAACTGGGATATAATAAAAGAAAAGTTGCAGTATAGGTAAATAGCCCTCTGCCTTCTCCAGTAATATGAATTCTTTGTACTATCAATTAATTGGGAAAAGGAAAGAAAGAAAGAAAAAAAAACCCATCATGGGCTTTGTAACTTGCAAGATAGGTCATAGTCATATGTAGAAGATTTGATTGGGAATCAATCGTACATCTACAATTCAGTTTCCCCCATGTGAATTAAATAGCCTACGTACGATCGATCGATCACATGATGTACTTGTACATGCATGTACGTACTGGCAAATGCTGAAGTATAGCTCATAGATTAATTGTTTGGTGAAACATTTTCAGGTTGGAACGGTCTGTGATGCTAGCTAGTAAAAGCTTCTTAGAATTTGGCCTCTTAAGTTCGGCCGGCCAGGAGCCCAGATTTTAATGTGTTTTTGAGTACTGATCTGAACTACTCGGTTAACGAATACTGTATCTGCACTTACTTCCATTTATATATATAGTGATGTGAATTGGGCACCTTTACCATCCTTGGAAGAGAATAACCAAACCTCTCGTAATTCATTACTTCTTTTTATCAAGCAAAATAGCAAGAATATTCAATAATGTTTGTGTCATTTGCAAAATGCGCAAAGCTTTACCTAACGTATTTCCCGTCCAGTTTTGGTTAGTCAAGTCGTGTACGTTTCATAAATAATATTAAATGATTTCCACGTTTTCTTCTTCTGAAAAAAAAAAAATGGCAAATTACAATAACACTCTCCAGATATCCTAAAATTATCGTTATCATTAAAAGATTGAAAATTTGACATAACTTACTTTTTATTCAAAATATCCTTAATTATTATTTAAAAATGCTAGTTACATTTGCAAAAGCTAGAAAAATAATAGAAGAAATATTAAAAAATGACCTTGTTAAGTTTGTAATAGATGAACAATATTAATTTTGGTTAATTAACTCTGACTTGAGTCTTTTTTTTTTTTAAATATTTCTCTAATATTTAGTTTTTATTTTATTCTTTTAATGACAATTAAGTGCATTTTAGATATAAAAAGAGGATTTTGTGGTATTTCCTTAAATATGTGATGATTGTAATCGCATGATCGATGCCTAGAGAGGTCATCGTAATTTACTCTTTGAAAGAGTATTGAGGGTTATTTTGGATTTCCACAACTAGCTAGTCTTCATATATGGCATGGAATTAGATGCGTCAAGCTACATCATTCTTTTTTTTTTTTTCCCCTCACAAGAGACCTCGTGCCAATCTTCTTCTTTTTTGGGAATAAAAAAAGAAAGAAAAAAGATGATCATAAGTTAGAAATTGCACAAAGGTACTTAATTATAGAACTTGGATCCATTAGGTAAATCTATGGCAATCCAATAACATAGAGTCTTAGCCAGATTTTTTATTTCATCCCAAACTAGGAATAGTTTCGAACCGGTTTTGACAACTATGGTTCAATCCCTCGTCATTATGTTTTCTTTTGGTAGCTGGAAAATATTTATTTGGAGAATAATCAATAAGAATATCTATCTTTGGAAAAACACAAATCTTCAAATTAATTATATAAATAACAACTTGAGTATTTAATAATTGATTTATGGTTAAAAAATTTAAACAACCTAGATGTCATTCTAGATTTCTGATCAAAATAATATTATATAAAAATTTGGTATATTTATTGACACTATCGAATTTCGTTGAATAACGATAGATTTTTCATTCGCTATATGCAATTAGCGACGGATTAGATACAATATGAATTTTGTCACTAATATAATGATTGCTATTTTTTTAACGATCGAATTAAAATTATATAAATTAAATTAAAATAAATATATAAATGCGTTAACATGTATAAAAATATTTAAAACTTTTTTAAACAAAAAAATTAGTCCTCATTATCACTAGTTCTACATAATCTTTCGATTTCTAGCCGTTGAGAGGAACAACCGATCGTTGGATTGTGTGAGAGTCGGCTAGAGGGACGAAAGACGGCTGAAAGTTCTCTAACAATTCATAACTCTCTACAAATGAGTTTGTATGTTGCTAACTTAATTGAAATGTTGTCGGATGGTAGCCTACATCCCTTCAATCCTATTTTCATATTAGACAAAAACCTCCCGGATATTACTACCGGGATACCACAAAGTAGCAAATGAGAAGCTAGCGCCGAATGTGAGTAACACTCGAAATGCATAAGTTTCGATGCCGTATACCATGTACTTCTTCTCTCCTTCGACAACATCCAAATGTATCTTGGACACGTCGATATTTTGAGATGATGCATCACCCTCCTATCACTCCTTAGTAGTCGCTTCTTGCATTAATTGCACACGCTTCTAAGTCATTGAAATAATTATAATATTTTTAGGTTTATAGATAGATGTACATACATTTAAAAAAATATATAAAACCGTATCATTACCGTCTATGATTGTGTATCATTACCGTCTATGATTGTTTGTCGACGAATGTTCCATCCTTTTACTTGTGAGTGTTCACGAACAAATCGTAAGGATTTGGATTACAACCCAATTTATTATGCTAAAAAAATAAATAAAATAATATGAGGTAAAATAAATGTAAAAATTAATTTATAATACAATGGATAATATAGTATTTACCAAATACTCAACATGTTTGATCAAAGAGATGGACCCTCCAATATGCTTGGATGGGCCAGCACCCACATCACCCATCTCCGACATACGATTTCGAGATGCCCGTCGAGATCGAGCTCGATGTGCGGGAGTGGCACAATCCCGATGTCATGTTTCCCACACCTCATTTTTAATAGACACGGGTATATTGCTCTTATGCATCAACTTGTTAAGCATGTCGTTATATCATTTTCGTGTCAAAGTCTCTCACGCATCTTTAATTAGTGTGTTGACGGTCAATCTCATAAAATATACTTCTACATGAAAGAAAAAAATAATATTAGTACTTTTCATGGAAAATTAACACTTTAAATGAAATATAAGCAAATAATTAATATGTTATTCTAAACTCATGAAAGTATAAATCTTTCATCTCTATTGATACTGATTTTCATGTGGAGCAAACGATGTCCAACCACCCCTTGAAAATTGTAGTGATTTTTATGGAGAATTTGCTTGATGGAACCAAACTATCGAACAAAATAAATAAATAATAAATAAGTGAATTAATAATTCTAATATAATATATAAAAATATAAAACTTATCATTGTATGTAAAACATATTACTTATCGATTATTCACGACCCAAATAATTTGTCCATCATCATATCTAGTTGAACTTCTTAGAGTTGAGGAAACCATAGTAGGATTATCCACAACATGGGGCACTACTAGTAGGGGATGCGGACGTATCAGCACCACTATCAAGTCTATGGCCCTAGACAATTGAACTAGCAAGTGTCACATCTACATACACTATCACTTTCTATTGCACGATCAACATCGAGCCATGACTACCGACATTGCGATCGGATCCGCCCAATCCACACAAGCATAATTCAAGAATGACAACGTAAACAATTTAACGGATGAATAATAATTCGGAAAAATATATTATAAATTATTATGAATTAAAACGAATAAAATTATTTAATTAATAATTTTTAATCATCTAATAGAATTTCAATAGAGTCTCTCCCGTAAAATGCACATTTTTTAAGTGATAAATACTCCAAATGATCACACAAATAACAAGTTAAATCAACCAACAATCAATTTTGGCACACCGAAACCAAGCAATTGTCTCGGATATTTCATCAAAATTAAATCCCAAACTCATCCTTCCAACTCTATTACGGGGCATTGAACCAACATCATTTCTTCTCAATTCTCAAAATTCCCAAAGGTCTTTGACCCCTCGAATTCGATGCACTATGACGTATCTCTCCATGCTACAATAATTATATATGCAATAATTAAACTAATTAATTCTAATTCTAACTAAATTAAATTTAAAATAACAATAAACTTCTAAGTTTTAATATAAATAAAGTTTAATTTGACCAACTAAACAAAATTAACCTAATTTATTACATAGATATAAATCTAACTAACTTAATTAATTCTAATTCTAACCAAATTATATTTAAAATAAAAATAAACTTTTAAGTTTTAATATAAATAAAGTTTTAATTCAATCAATTAAAAAAAATAATGTAATTAATTATAAATCTAATTAACTTAATTAATTCTAATTCTAACCAAATTAAATTTAAAATAACAATAAAATTCTAATTTTTAACATAAATAAAGTTTTTATTCAACCAATTAAAAAAAATCAACCTAACCTAATTAATTAAATATAAATCTAATTAACTCAATTAATTCTAATTCCAACCAAATTAAATTTAAATTAACAATTAATTAAAAATTTCTAATATAAATAAAGTTTTAATTAAATGAATTAAACTTAATTAACCTAATTAAAAAATTAAACATAAATCTAATTAACTTAATTAATTCTAATTCTAATCAAATTAAATTTAAAACAACAATTTCTAATATATATAAACTTATAATTCAACTAATTAAGCATAATTAACTAATTAATTAATTAATTATAAATCAAATTATATTAATTAAGAAAAATTAACAAAATTATAATTAATTAAAAATTTTAATCTAATTCAACCAATTAAACATAATTAACCTAATTAATTAACTAAATTTGAATAAAATTAACTTAATTAATTAAAAATAAATTCTGATTAAATTTAAATTATAATTAATTAACTAATTAACCTAATAATTAACAAAATTTAATAATTTAACAAATTAATCAACCAGCTTAACCTAAAATTAACAATTTAACAAATAAATCAACAAAATAAAATTTAAAAATATACACGACCATAAATCAAGTAATTAAACTTAAATTAACCTAAAAATTATAACAAATTACTAATTTTAATTAAGAAAATAAAAGAAAGAAAAAACATAGCTAATTTGGGTGGAATTATAACAAAATGAGGAAAGAAAAAACGACCTTTTTTTTTTGTGGAGAAAAGACCT